TTATTTACGGTTTCTGGCAATTTAATCCATACTCGATTTAACACTCGAGATAGATACATACATATGTGCTCCTCTTATGCTGGATTTCCACCAGGCATTAAATAATAAAAATTTTAATCACAGAATCGTGAAAAAATTTTCAATAAATGCATTTCCACATGGCATTTTTTAAATGCCTCAAATTTTTTGTCATTTCAATGCATAGTGGAAATTTGGCATAATGCTGGATTTCCATTAGGCGTTAAATGGCAAAAATGACTAATGACAAAGTCGGGCATTAAAAGAAAATTGTGTCATTACATTAAAAAAAATTGTCATTAAATTCATTTCCACATGGCATTTTTTTTAATTGGCATACATTTTTTGTCATTTCAATGCCTAGAGGAAATTCGGCATAAGAAACAAACAATTTCCCAATTCTACTACATTTTATCACAAACTGACAATTGTGTTTGCCTGTCAATAATTTGTTTTAATGTAAGTGACTAGTAATTGTATTTAACAATTTTTATTTAAAAATCACAAGTGTTCACTAATTGCTTGTACAGTGAAAACATCATTTGTTTGAATATGACTATAGGCTGCTACTACACTTATCATAATAGAATTAGGCTTCTTTTTAATAGGTTTGTATGTATTTAATTCTCCCTTGTTTACAATAAAATTATAAGTCATTTATTATGTTATGTGAATGTAGCTGCTGCTTTTCTTATAGGTTTCCTTTTTTTAATTTTTTACTTTTACTGATACTCAGTCGCTATTTAAGTGAACACGAGTTCTAACATGTGCAACATGGGCTCAGTGCGGAAGTTAAGTCGCAATCGAAAGATAAAAATTTACAAAAAAACAAAATAAAATGATGCACTTGCCAGTATTTAGACAATATCTACATACATTCAAACATATGCCAGTATTTAAGTAACGTGCGATGAAAATGTGACTTGAACTCAAAGGTATCAGGGGCTAAGAAAAACAGAAGTGCGCCTCTGACATTAATTAAGTGTGCATTAACACAACTTACCTACAGTGGTCGAAAAAATTATAGCCGCACCACATTTTGATAAGTTTTAACGTAATATTTTTGCTGTTATTTATTTTTAGTTTTTTGCTTACAAAAATATAGTTCATTCCTTAACAAAACCCGTGTAAATCCACGTTTCAAACTTTGTGCAATATTACCAAAAAAAAAACTTTCGTAAACAACTTGGAGCTTTTTTATTTAGATTTCCTAGTAAGATTCTGAGTATTCAGTTTTTAGCCCATTGAAAAGTGTAGTTTCAAAGGCTAAAAATTACCGTTGATTTTTTTTAGAATTTTTCTACGGTTTTCTCCATATAAAAATAAATTGTGTGTGTTCGTTATATGGAAGCAAATGGGACAAAAATAAATAAAAATATTCTACTAGAATTCAATGGGCTGCATACCAAAATTTTTTAGGAATTAATTAAAAAACTCGTAGTTTTACGTAAAAATTGTTGTATTTTTTTTAATATTATACAAAGTTTGTAACTAAAATAACAACAAAAATACTATGTTAAAACTTGTCAAAATGTGGTGCGGCTATAATTTTTTCCACAACTGTATGTAAACTACATATTGTAAATAGAGAAAACAAAATCTCAAGGATTGTAAGTAAAATTTTTGACCTTGTCGCACATCTCGTCCAAAACAATTTAGAGCCTATTGTTTCTCAACACTGATTAGCCGAGGTCACTATTCAGTAAATTACTAATACACTGATAGGACCCTTATTATTAACCTTGCGGGTAGTTATAGAGAACAATCACATTTGTGGATTACAAAAAGGCAAGCTTAAAGTGGCAATAACAAAAAAATTTAAAAGTTTAATCGAGCAATATTACGTTAATTTAGAATAAAAATATTGTGAATGAACATGCATGCGTACATACATTTGTATGTATGTATATACATAAAAGTATTAGCTAGGACAGTTGGCGAAGATATGTCACGTAGGCCGCAATATACATCAGTTACATACAAAACTACATATAATTTTATTGATTTGTAGATTTAAAAGCGATTATGTGACTTGAAATTTAATTAAATGAATTATAAATTAAATACATATGTATGAACAAATTGTATGTGCATACATTGTTGTATGCATTTGCACGCTTATAGGATTTATTTGTTTACTTGCAAAATGGTAATTATGGTTGGAATGTGCACTTTAATGCTATTTTTAGTTTTTCCTTTTTTAACAACAGCAAAAAAAACACAGATAAAGCTTGTTTACCAATCAAAAAGCCGGCTGAATTAAAATTATGTACGAATAAACTCAGAAGAAATAGTAAAAGCAATGAAAACAAGTACCTAATAATATTTATGCAAAAAAATACAACCGACTTCAATGCTCATATAAGCATTTTGGAGTACCGTTAATTTCGTCATGATCGATTACCGATAAAAAAAGAGACTTATTGAAACAGTTTATGTGGTGCAAATTACTCGGTAACACTTATAAAAACAAAAAAGAAAAATATATACAAATTTAGATTCAACATTATTTAAAAAACAATATTCCGATGAATTGATACCCTTCCTCCTTTTTTGTAAGTCGGTTAAAAAAGTAAAAAGTAAAAATTTGATACAACATTTTTATATTGTAAAAAACTACAAAAAAATCAACAATTAATAAAAATAAAAAATTTTATTCAAAATTTTGACAATGAATCAGTCGGCTTCAAAAAAGTAAAAGCTAAAAATTTAATAAATAACACATAAATACGTCCAAATTCTATTTTTAATTTATTTTTTTTAAATTTTCCTTTTTCGACACTTCAACATATTTTTTTCTCAAAACTGGCTCTAAAAACTGTGTAAATTCACTTCAAATCAGCATCACAAAATCTATAAGATTAGCTCGGTCCCGTTTTCGAGAAAAAATACTACCAAATTCTGTTGAACCGTGTAATTTATTGTAAGAAACTACAAAAAAAAATAAATAAAAAAATTCAAAAACCAAAAAATATATAAATTTTAAAATCTAATTATAGCTCAAAACACCAGTGTTAGTATAGTAAAAACTTAAGAAATTTAATAAAAATAACAAATATTTGAAAATAAACATAACAAGTAATTTTTAAGCCAAAAACAAAAGCGACTCTCGATCGGATCTAAACCAAATTGGTATGGGACCATCTTGGAGGTATCACCTTTCCTTTAAACACGATATCGTGGTCCAAAGTTATGTGGTAACATACATAAAAGAAAAATTAAAAAATATTCCGACGAATTGATAATCTCCTCTTTTTTTTGAAGTCGGTTAAAAATACATATGTACATATACATATATGTATATCGACGACTGAGTGGAAGATCGAATTGGAAATCTCAGGAAATTTTCCAAGAACACCCAATTTTTGAAACATTTGCTAAGATAGGGCGTTCTTAATACAAATCCTGAGATAGGGCGTTTTACAATCAAATTCTGAAATAGGGCGTTCTTGAGCTATTTTCGTAGATAGAACGATTTCGAAAAATAAGCAAATGACAAGTTTTGGCTATTCTTCCTTTGTCTATTGAATGTCCATTAGTTTTTAATAAGTATGGCGCACTATATAACAAAAACCATTTATGTCAAAATTTCAAGCTTTATAAAAGATTTATGAAAATCCGACGAATTTTAATAAATGTTCATCAAAATTACAAATTCTAGCTATGCAGTTTTGTAGCCTATTAAATTTTTGTATGATAAAGTGCATGTTTGAAGGAGCTACCGTTGATTTTTTGCAATTTTTTTGCTCATAGTTGCTATTCGTTTTCCTCGATATAAAAAAAAAATTCGAAGTTACTTTTATGGAAGAAGTTTGAAATTTTGTTGCATCTTTGTCGAGTTTTCGTAAATAAAATAATTTCTTATAAAATCATTAAAGGTCACAAAGTGTATATGTATCTGGAGTGGTTGAAAATTTTAGTAAAAAAAATAATAATGAATTAAAAAATAAATAAATAATAAAAAAAAAATATTTTTAAAACAAGCTTTCTAAGTTCATATGAACTACATCGAACTATAAATACGGTGGTATCAAATATCGCGACTTTTGCGCCACTGCGCAATTTAATTCATATTGCATTTGCCATCGGGTTCTGAGCTACATAAATTTGAAGTTTCAAGTGTCTAGCTCATCTGAAAGAAGATTTTACCCAAGCAAACATGCATAAATACATACATACAAGCATAGCAAGTTAAAAAAAATTTAAAAAACGTTAGCTCCAAACTAGCAGAATTTAAAACACATTCACGGAAATCTCAGCGCTCTTAATTTGAAATGAGTTTAATATGATTAGTAAATATGTACATAAAAAAGATTTTTCTAGTTTTATCTGTGTGTATAGGCAGCATTACTAAATTAAATAACAGATTTAGTTGCGCCAAGGTGGCACAGTGAACTTGGATCATGCATTGTTTAATGCTCTCCCAAACATGTCTTGATTTATGACTGCCTTTGAAAAAAAAACGTTGTTAGATAAAAGCAGCAAGCAAATAATTAGATAAATATCCATACATACATACATACATATGTATGTATATATGAAATGCACTTTGGCTATAACTACTGCGAAATTTATTTGAGGCTAAAGAGTACATTTAATTCCTTTGTTTTTAAGAACATTTAGGAAATGTACAGAATTTTTACTACATACAGACATACATACATATCTCTCTTTGGCAAAGGGTTCATCCGCTTAAATGAACACAATTTTGTTGTTAATATTTATGATTTGGATGTAGAAAACAAATATCTTAGCGAAAAACAACGAAATTGAAAACAAAAGTATTATTAGATGACAGCTACAAGCACATAGATAGCGGTACCCCTATGGGAACGATTAGTGTTGTTGCCACAAATGCAAAATTTAAGGATATTAACCGGATATGAGGGTTTTACCCCCCTATATACAAATATTCGGATATCCGAATATACGCTTATTCATCAGCAATCAATAATAAGTGTCTCAATTCTCTTTATTTGCAGACAATAAACCCAAACCTGAAACCATTGAAGTATTCACCGTAAAAATTCGTGAGAACGGTACATTCAAAATGGTCAAACTAACGCTTGAGGATATCTGGAATCAAGGCTGGGAACTTCGTATTAATAATTTCGCCGACAAGGAAAAATCAGCGCATAACGAAAAGGACATACGCAATCAGGTAAGCAGCTGCCAAAGGACATATTTATATTAAAATTAAATATTCCAATAAAGAAAGTATATGTATGTACATATGTATTTCTTATAATTATTAACATATTTCTACTTTGATTATACACGCACAGGTGTCGTTTGCGCGCAAGGCCAGGCATAGTTTGTGGAACAACAACAAGCATTTTGTTTATTGGTGTCGCTATGGCAGTCGTCAGCAGGATGTGCGGAAGCGCCAGGTTAGTACAGAAGCAAAACGAGCTACAAAAGTTTTTAGTTACATATGTATGTACTAATTTATTGCATTGCTACTCTTTCATTACGCGCAGATGTCCGAGTGCGTTAAATGGGGCAGCGTAGGCATGAACGCCGGCATGCTGCTGCTGATGAACAAGCAAAAATCCTACTCCACATCCAAGTGAGCGGATGATCTGCCTGTGCGGCTAGCAGCGTAGAAGTTTTCAGATTTCAGCAAATTCCACAAATCCAGTGAGGAGATTCGCGCTTGCAATCAAACGATCAATCAAACAAAATGGAGAGAGATAAAGTGAAAAATATTGTACTGAAGACAAAAAAAAAACAAAACAAAACAAAACAAAACAAAACAAAACAAAAATGAAAAGACCACAAAAATTTTAATATAAAGAACGTGTATGGCACTAATATTAAAGTTGCATTGATTTTATGAGCATATCTACATACATACATACCTATGTATGTATGTATGTATATGCTTATGTATCAACATTCATACATATGTATTTGTGTGCTAATGCAATGTTTGTAGGTGATTTGCTGTGCGATTGATATTGATATTGTTAAAAACACACGCAACTGTATTCAGTGATAAATTTTTAGAAATTTGGCGCTCGAAGCTCTATGAAAATCGTTTATAAAAAATATTATAAATTAAGTGCGCAGGCGCCAGTGAATTGTAAATTACATGCACATGCGAAGAAGGAACAAGTATTTAATTTTGTTGAAAAAACCCAAACCAAATGTTTCAAAATAAAAAATGCAATTATTTGAAAATCACAAATGTACTTCAGAGCAAAAAAAAATAGCAAATATAGCAAGGAGCTAAGTTACCAAGGTATTATGAATGCGCAGAACAGTTGTTTAAGTTATTTATTTTTTATTTTTTATTATTTCCTTTTTTCTTAAGTTAGATAAGTTGCGCAATTGTGGTCAAATCACGCGAGAGGCAGATAATGCATGTTCTCTTATTTTTCGTCTTTATTTTCCTGGTTGCTGATGATCGCTTTGGTTGCATATACATACATATGTACATGCATGTAGTATGCATACTAGATATGATATATAGTAGTGAGCGCGAATCGATAGCCGAACCCTAGGTGACCCAGGTGATGATACAACATTTACATACATATGCACATGCATACCTTGTTAATATATATTACTCACAAACATACAAATGTATGTATATCGATGGTACTCTGCAATAACGACACAACTCTAAATTTCATATATTTCAGTAGAGCCTATTAAAGATTTTGTGTTTCGTAGCTTAGCAATAATATGTCTTGGAACGTAATTTTTCAAATTATGACTTTATCTAAAGATCTAGTAAGTGTTGGACTGCAAAAATACGAAATAAGTAACAACTAGTAAGTAGTAAAACGAAAAAAATTCTATTTGTATTGCTGAACAACGGCACAAAACGAAAAGTGTCGTTATTTCACATAACAGCACGACTAACATATCGAGAGTTTTTGACTTATGCCAATATTTACGATAAATATGAGACTTGTGCCACTGTTCAGTAGTTAGGGTTGGCTACTTCGGTTTTGAGACATCTGCTATATATGTAACTAAAAACTATGAAATTTTGAGTTGTGCCGTTATTGCAGAGGACCGTCGATATGTCGCACCCTTAATTCACAAATGTCCTAACCAACATTTTTTTTTATTTTACAGGAGAAGCAAAAAAACATTTTAAAAGTAGTATCACTCACAGGTAGGACCTTTTAAAAAGTGATGTCCAACTCCGTAGTTTTTGGTTCTAACACTTTTAAAATTTTATTTTAGGTGTATTTTAATACATCCTACCAAAATCTGTGAAAAACGCAATTTCGAAAAAGGTGTTGGTTAGGGCATTTGTGAATTAAGGTAAAGATGTATATTAGGGTGAATCAGACCATAGAAAGAAAAAACAATCGCTACTGCTTTTCCATCGAAGTTATGAAATTTGTTATATTTTGAGAGTTCCGCCAAAATATTTCGGAAAAATATTAAAACTTAAGTGAGCTGAATCTTTTTGAAAACACCTCTAAATAACGTGTTTTTTATATAAATAAAATTAATTTTTTTAAATATTTTTTCCAAAAAACCACTTCAGATGATAGAAGAGTTTAAGCTTAAAAGGTCTTCATAATTCTTAATATATTTTTGGAAATATTTTGGCAGAAGTCTTAAAATAAAAAAGTTCTATAATTCCGGTGGAAAACCGCAAGTTTTTTTTTAGATGAGGCATCCTAATGTACCTACATATATGTATATAGAAAACATTAATGACCTGAAACTTGTACGTAAACCTTATTTACTGCACATACACACAGTTATTTAAGGAAATATACATACATACATACAAAGACGAAATGGCGCTTTGCCAGTCATCTCTGCCACGAGTATTGCATTTCGCTACTCGTACTGATACACACTGTGAATTTCTAATATTGAAAAAGACTTGATTTCTATTTTTTAAGATTTAAGATCTACTAAAGCGACCACAAAACAAACTTTACCATCGTGAAAGTATGCAAATTAAAAAAACAAACAAAAATAAAATGTAAAAATTTAAAACCCTAACACGAAATAAACTTTAAAAGTTTGCCCCTATTTGTTTTTGCGGTGGACTATGTACATAGAACTGTACATGTAGGTATAAATATCAGATATTTGTTAAGATACTACATTTTTGATTTTTAATTGTTTAAAAAACAAAGTCGATGTAGCTCATAATATTTGTTGCAGTTAAGCTTTAACAATAAATTTTTTTCGGTTGAGGACCGTTGGCGTGGTAGCCAAGTAATTGTATACTTAATCCATAAAAAAAAACATACATACATACATATAAATCTTACAACAATGCTAGTTGAAATCGATGTGATCTGTTTTGTTAATTGTAAAACATAAAGAAAATAAAAAAAAACAAAAAACATTAAAAAAAATCTTATTCAGACATGCAAATATGCATAACTAAATACATGCATACGTATGCATGGATATATCATCTAAATAGTAACACATAAAATGCGAATTTAATGTATCGCAGATTTATTGCTTAAATTAAACGTTATAAAAATCATAAGAAATATCGCATTGTATTTGTAGAAACTGTAAATTAGCGCGTAAGTCTATAAAGCGATAAGCCGCTCGTATATATGAAAAGCTTATGATATTAAATTATATAAAAAACATTTTTTTTTGCATCGAAATTTGAATAAAGGTTCGTTTTTTGACCACAATCATTCCTTGAAATTAATAAAAAAATAAAAATAAATATTTCCAGCTCACATTTTAGCTAAGTGCATGGCCGCGCTTCTCCTCTGATTTGTGGTGTGCGGCTTGATGTTTGTAACACAAATGGAATGACTATTTGCAATTCTACGCCAACACCGAACGGCAGATGATTTTTTGTGAGCTTCGTTATGGCAGAAACACACTGGGTGATTTGCATTTCCCTGTCGATGGGCAACCGCTATTAGAAAACACTTTTTCTATAACTAAAGCTTGGGGATTGAGCCCGAATTCTACCGAATGGAATCCACACCTCTAACCACATGGCTAAGGTGGCCGCGAATTGTTGATAAATAGCACCCAAAACTTCACAGTTTCAGCTGAGTACATGAAGGAGCTATATCACAAAAACTAGTACCTGCACCAT